GTAAAGCATGTGTTTATTTTTCTCTGAGAAATCACTATTTGGTTGTATTTCCTGAGTAGACCATAGAATATAATCTAATGCCTTAGGGGTTACTTCATGCTATTTCATGAACCAAAACTATGACAACAGTATCACACTATATTCATTGTCTTGGACACTAATGTTTGCTCTTATGAGATTAGTTTATAAGCATCCTATTATGTATTCTGGGAAATTGGGAGGATATAATAGTAATGCTGATGATGGTTTGTTCCTGCTGACTTTTATAGTTAAAAAATTATCAAAATCAGTCACAGAAATAGATTGAGTTTTATCCATAGCCTTTGAAATATTTTAGTAGTGATGAAGAAAAGTCCCTTTGCCAACAAAACTTTTTTAAAAGTTGAGAGAATATTAAAATTCAAAATGTCATAAATAGTCATAGTATGAAATCCATGTCTTAATTTTTCAAGATAAATATTCTCTTTAAAAAACAACATTTAGGCCATTTCTCCAAAATATTATTTAAACAAATCTACACATTTTTATCCCCTCTAACAAATTTTTATTTCCCCCTTAGTTTGCTATCTGTGATTTATGTGAGTGAAAAATATGCCTTTTTATCTTCACATGGGGATTGTATACATATACTGTTATAAATTACAGTGCTTAAAGCAAGATTAGGCAAATCTTTCTCAGTGAGTTAAGTTGGTGATCTGCTTAGACTGGCAATCGTGTCACTTTACTGGTTAATTTCACAGGGTAACTATTTTCTGTTGTGAGCTTTTGGGAAGTTGAAGTCTGACAATATGTGCCAGAATTTGGACTTTGGGTGCTGTAGTCAAAATCTGAAAGTTGAAATAGTTGCCATAGTAGGTACCTGTGTTTTACTATAACAACCAGAAGATAATTTGCACTCTGAGCCACTACATGGAAATTGAGATTCAGTAAAATCCAAAGTATAATGGTTTAGACTGCTTAAAAGCAGAATTCCATCAGAGCCATCCTCAAAAGCAAGCTAAAAAAAATTTAAAAACCACTGTAGATTTAAGTGGCAGATCCCTACAAATAAGTAGATTCAAATTAAATGTGGATGAATTTATATGCATAGAGTATAGTGTTCTTACCTTACCTCCCCCAAAATCCTGGGTGTATGCTTTTTTCTGGGATCAACTAATTTTATGGTATACTGAGAAAAAAATGAATTTCAATAGCAAGAATCCTCAACAGAATTATCTTCTTTTGGATCTCTTGGCATTGTTAGTGAAAGCAAGCTATCTGATTTCAGTTATGCTTACCATGTGCCCATAGAACAAATAAATATAAGACTAAATGCAAAGCAGTCCAAGCAAATTATAATGTTTAAGTACTGCTGTGTTGTGTGGCATTCTGATCAATGTAACTAATTAATAACATAATGGCCCTTATAAAACACTGTGGTACTGCGAATCACATGTGTAATACTATGACCAAGCAAAACAGTGAAAATATTGTAGTAGTAGTTATTAGCCTAATCCTATTAATTCAGATCTTAACTGGAATCTTAATTAGTTGAACATGAATGGCACTGAGAGTAACCACAGATATTGAAATTGCAAAGTGATTTGTTTTTATAAAAAATATATAATATGAATGCTTATCTTAGCAAAAGAAACTTTTTTAGTATGTCAGAACTCCTTATTTACATGTTGAAAGTTGATATTTCTATGTCTCTCTTGTTTTCATTAAATTAGCTCTAAGCATCTTTTAAAAGACATTTGGCTAGGAATTTCTTAATTCACAAGTAGCTATAGATATTGTCATTCTTTCTAAAGTAATTTTTAATTTAGACTTTTCACTAAATCAAACTGACCTTATACTTAGTCTGCAATACATAGTACTTTTTCCCTTTCAGTTCCTGATAATTGTTGAAAAACCATATTCCTCCAATCATAGCTGTTTTAATTAGCATCTTTAAAAATCTAGCATTCTAACTAGAGTATAAACTACAGTATTATAGAGGACTTAGTATCCACAATGCCTAACACATAGTAGAAACTCAGTTTCTTGAATTGTTGCATGGTGAATGAATAAATCAATGACCAATTTCCCTTTATTCTTTTAAATTCATGTTAAGTAGCTTATTTTGAGCTTGCAATGGGATTCCAAATAATCTCATTGAAAGTATAACCCAACTTTATCAAGGGCTTTTCTAAGATAGGCCCTTACCTATTAAGCTATTGCTCTAATGAATTAGACTACGCAAAATGAAACCTAGGAATGTCAAAATACTGTCAAAATTTGCTAAACTACTTGCTAGATTCTTTGTTGTTGTTGTTTCCTTCCAGTTTTTTTTCTCTTGAGTTGTCCAGATATCTGAATGCTATCAAATTAACATTTCCCTGAAAGTGATTAATGTATAAGCTACATTTATTTTATTTCATATGATTAGTCTAACTGCAAATTGAAACCTGAGATAGATTAGTATGCATGTGTGTATACATTTCTGTATCTGAAAGAATAATAATCCTTTATTTTCAGTCTGTAAGCCACTAGTAATTCACTCTGTCACATCATTTATACAATTCATCTCTTAATTTCTTAGCATGCTGATATGCAATACAGAGTTGAAAGCATTGCGAAAATGTAGATAAATGTTGTCTGCCCAGCTCCCTTTATCCACTCTCTGTTATCTCAAAAAAGCCATTGTATTAGCATAGCAAGATCTGTGCCATGCAAATTCATTCTATTATGCAGTCGTTTCCTTTGAGTGTTCTTAAATCAATAACATAATTGTTTGCAAGTATTGCATCCAAAATAAAAGTCAGGCTACACACCAAAACTGGTCCAGGATGACTACTTTGTCTCCCACCCTTCAAACAATAGGGGCTCGTTTAGAGTGCACTTCATGAGTTGATTTTTCACTTAGTGAATATTGCTGGTACATTGGTGATAGATGCTCGCTCTTTCTTGAGCCACTTTGGTGATAGGTGCTTGCTCTTTGTTGAGCCACTAATTATTTCCACTTTAGTCATTATAGGAATGTCATATCTTTCAGTAAAAGTCAACTAAATAAAGTTCAGGTTTACAATGTCCCTTTTGTTCTAATTCTAAATTATAATTTAGACAACAATGAATAGTATTAAATCTTTCAGTTCTACTTTCTTTCTTATTCTTTGACTTAAATATTTGACCTTGACTTTCTCTTTTTCTCTCTATGTGTTTGAAAACGTTCTAACTATAGTTTTATAGTATATAATTAAAAAGCATTTCAACTTCTATTTCTCTCTATTATTGAATGCACTAGCATAACTGTTTAGATTTTCTGTGTATTTTTATATTTCATTTGGTATGCATTTGGGTGCTAATTATATTTTAAATCCATTGTAAGCATAGTAGGCTTTCTTTGCATTTGACTTCTCTCTCTAATACGAATTTCTTATTTGTGGTATAAGTATAGTAGCTTTTGAATTCTTTTTACCCTTGTGTTTATTCAAAGCAGCTCTTCCCATCTGTTAGTTTTTTTACTTCAAATATTTTTGTTTCCAAAAGTGTCAGGCAGCCCTTTCTAAATTATTCATGGGAATGGTGGACAGTGAAAATACGAACATAATAAAAGGCAGTTCAAGTGAAGACAAGAGCAATCCTCAAGTCTCATTTGTTTAAGTTTAAATTCATCAAATCTTTTGCCAGAGCTGATTGACAAGAAGTAAAACAGATTAGCCTTAATTTATTTTTCTTTTTTCTTTCTTAATAATCATTCAGTGAAGGTGAGGTAAAGAATACTAGTAACTGAAAGGCAAGGTGGTTACCAAACAATGTTCTAAGTGTCCTACACATAAATTATCTAAATCATCACGAATTCTATAAGGTTTGTGCTATTATCCCTGTACAATAGGGAGGATAGGAAACAAAGGCACAGTGCTTAATAGCTTGCTCTATAGCTAATAAGTGGTGAAGAAGCCAGGTTACAAACCTAGGCAATCAGACTCCAATACACATTTCCCTCTTTAAATAGCCTGCATAAATCACAACCCTTAGAATCAGTGTTCAAAAATACTATAATTCTCTATGTATCCTTTGCCTCCCTCTCTGGAGCCTGCCCTCCAGCTCCTAAGAAGTTGCTTACTATAAAGTTTTTCTGTCTTAACTTAGATCTAGATCCATAGTAAGTTGCCTCACATGAGTTTCTAGGCACCCAATAGGTGAGGTACTCCACTTAGAGGCACATTTTGTCAGGGTGTCTATGTCCTTTTTGTATAATCTATATTTGTCTTTCTCCCTACGGACTGCCTGGTCAATGTGAGTTATTCATAGTGTGTCCTCCACACCCAGCCTTGAGAGTCTGAACCAGAGCAAGACCTAAGCATCTGCTTTCTCAGCTTCCTTTCTCTGGGGTTTTGTCCGTCCCTGTGCTTTGTAGTTTCTGGCATAAAACACACTTAGCACTGGGTCTGAGCATACCCAGACAGAGAACTGTTATAATCCTTTCTTTCCTTCCACTGTGGTTGATCACCTAACCCATAGACCCTAAGACCCTTTGTTTGTTCTGCATACCCTTTATAAGAAAGTAGAAGTGAAGCTGAAAGGAGAAGTTAGCAGGCATGAGGACATCATTTAGGAGTCACTATTCAGTTGGCATGTAGATTCAAGTAGGTTAGACAGAAGTAAGACAATTGTCCGTTCTAGCCCTCGTCCTGAATTGGCTACTCATTGTAATATGCAGTATTATTTCCCTCTTAGATTTAAACGTTTGAAAATCCCCCCTCCTTCATCTTACTTTATTAGGTGGTTCCATTGTAAGATTTAAAGTGTCCCTTTTAGAAATTTGTGTATCTTACAATTCAGGATGTGATTAAAAAAAAAAAAAAAAGAAAAGAAAGAAAATGAAAAAAGAAATTTGTGTTTCCTCTGTATCAGATGTGATCATTATATTAAAACATCTGTCATAATATTTTTAAAATATTTCTATAGTTTTTTAACACATTAGCTCTAATGTTAGAGTGCTATTTTCTTTAAGAAAATCTGCTTAGCCTGAATAC